TACTAAGTCACTTAATTCGATTTATGTATCTACATTCGCTGACCATAAGTTTCAACCTCACTTCTATTTAATCAGCATTTCTAACAGGATCAGTAAGCAATGCCAAGTTAGATTCAAGTTATCTTTGGCACTCATATTTCCTATGACCTGCTGGAACCCGTGGCGATATTGAAAAGATGCTCACGACTCGGTATCGCACCCCTTTTAAGGGTGTTGATAAGATCTAGATTAATTTGAAATTAAATTCGACGCCCATTGAACGAACATTTAGGGAATCAAGGTTAAGAGCAATTCAATTTCCTCGTAAAGTCTACCCATATAATCGTGGGAAAAATTAAATTATCAGCTCTTAAGTCATCTTGAACTAACTACGATGATTAATTTTTGTTTATAAGTAGGTTTTTGAGACAATAAGTATTCCTTAGAATTCACATATTCCCCGTGATTCCAGGGCTTTCGTGGCAGTATGACGTAGTGATTAACTTGTCGAGTCTATACGTCGTACTACTCGGGTTCAAATCCCACTGGAAGTGCTGATAAGACACAAGCGAGATGGGAACTGCAATCCATACCAGTCTGAATGAGAATACCTTTTGGGAAGCTGGACTATCTGAAATCAAATGGAAACAAGGGGCATATTCGTATGATCGTGGAAAAATTCAACTACCAATTCTTCAGCACCTAAAATGAGATAGGGTGAATACACCTCGTAAATAGAGTGAGTAAACTCTTATTTCAGATTAACTGGTAGTCTTAAAAACTACTTATACTGAAAATAAGTAACGGGGTTTATTCCAATATCAGCTATACATGTGAATTGAACGAGACCGTTTTTTTTGAAAGCCACAACTGTCTTCACAATTGGAGCCTGTGGCTAGCTATGATGCCACGACTGGGTTTTGATTCCCATTGGAGTTGGTGGTGAGACGAAGAGACAAGGCCAAAACTGCAGGTTACTCTTGTTAAGATTAGTTTTCGGGAGGCAAAGCTAAGTAAAGACTTCAGACAAGGTGCACCCAACTAGGTCTCTTTGACAATATGATGAAATTGAGAAAGCGAGGCTAGATCACTTTTATCCTTATTAAACTATATTTTCTGGCCATCAAATCGCCACTGAGGACAGACGAATGCTTTAAACTTGGATTACGTGATCATAGTCATTTTAACCGTTTAATTTAATCACATTGCTACCCAGACCGATTTTCAGTGGTGAGGCCGATGACTCCTGGGTACATACAGTGGCCTTCTCGGACTGTGGCCGCCTTTATGCCACTGGATTGGGTGGACGCCTCACTGCCTGGCAGGTTATTGCACCACGCACTCCTTTTGTCACTGCCTTCCTTCCTGCTGGTCGGATGCGCAAATGCTTGGATCATCGGCCCTTTGGCCTCCCAACGGGCCCTTCGACTACCGCCATTGGCTCAAGCTCCTTTGGGGCGCTTAGCGCGGCTGGTGCTGGTCTTGACTCTGTACCTTTTACTGGCGTTGGTGGCAGTACTACTGGCACTAGTAGTCTTAAAATGCTACGTTCTCCACGTGGTTCAATACACAATCTGGCTTCTGGCCTGATTCAATCTTCGGCTTATTCACACATTGCAGGAACAGGACTCACACTCGGGAAGCCGGCTACATTTCCAGTGATCCGATGCGCTGACCTCAAGGTTTATATGTATAACTATCATAAGATATCTAAAGCGCATATATTTTAATCCCTACTTTAATGGGTTGTACTTGACAGTTCATGGATTCGTACATCCATTGCGCATGCTTCTAATGACTTATTTTTCTGTATATATATATATATATTTATTTATTTATTTATATCCAGCTTGTTTTTAGCTTGAATAAGTCTATCTTCGAAGAAACTAATTGATTGATTATATCACCAAACTAAATTTCATCTTAGGCATAAGCTTACACAAGTAAATTTAATAAAGCAAATCATCAAGACATGAGGGTGCTTGACGTATCTAGACGCTATCCATAACCATACGCTTATTATCATCTGACTTAAATTAGGGTTTTTAGCAGTCTTATGCCGCAAGATACAGATGGATGAATTCGGTGAAGCTCAAAACAATTCCTTTTTTTATATCCAAGTCAGGCCAAAGCCCCTGGCTAGCATCTTATTGACATGAAATAGGATGAAAGGGGGTTGACCCCGTTGTTGCTATGCTTGTAGATATCAGGCATTGCCTTCTAGCGTCGTCTCCTTGACCAAATCCGTGAGCAAATTGTGGACGCCTATCTCTGGTCACATGCGGTATCTCAAGTGGATTTCTAGTACATTTTGGCCATAACGCCGAATTTCTGTGACGGTTAATTTATCCGTCTGCCTAGCTCCCTAACTGCCAGGCCTCCAAAGTTGTACTGGTTTATTCGAACAATAATCATGCACTGGCAATGTCTTCGCTTGATTGCCGAAAATCTACGCCCCCCCTTTGCTTCATCGCGATCCTTTTTCCTCCGGTTAGCGATAGATCCTTGCTCCAGGCATCTCCTTTTTGCTGTAAATCGAAAGGCGACAATACCAGGGGCCATACCATCTTGGTCTTCATATCTTTATATTTTAAGTTGATAATTTTCTTTCATTTATTACATGTATCTAGATTCATACTACTTCTTGTGATGCTTATTACACACTGATTTATCCACGGTTTATGAAGAAATCTTGCATCATTCGAATAGCAGGCAATTTTGTATGCAGTTTTTTGGAGTATGTTACTTGCTAGTAAAATCTCAATAATCTACTCGATCGTCTGATATTCTGATCAAGCTATAGTCAGCTATCCGACAGCAGACTTGAAAATAGATTTGACTTGTGTAGGGCGTTACAAATTATTTTAAATTTAGGATGTAGCTTTTTGGATTCGTCCTAGCACGACTATGTTGGAGTTCATTTCATTTCGTTTGAAGAGGCGAGTGGATGATATTTGTAAGTTTGATCCACCAGAGGCTGTGGAGGGGTTGCCTTGGAGCAGTGGCTGTAGATTTGTCCGAATAGGTCCTCGGCGCGGCGATCTGCGACCCCAATGAATCCTTGCCCAGCTTTCGTTCGTCATGTGACTGACATCGTCAGAGCAGAACACTATGTTAAACGATACTTCACAAGAAACACGAAGGCAAGAAAGATAGCCCGCTTCAAATCTACTTCCTTATAGTCCAATTTGGTCTATTTAGGCATCTCATGTTTTGGTTAGATGTCCTATGCTTTGCCTATATGCTTGCTCATAAGTTAAGTAAAGTGGCATTGGATGACATGTGAAGTAGCTAAAGATGAAGCAGGAAACGAGTTCAAGTGAAACCGAACAGCTGCATCCCCTAAAACACTTGTGATCCTGCAATGTTACCACATGTGATTGCGTCCCATTGCGCGCGTGTTGTGTGATTGCAATACTCTTGAAATAAGTGTGTTGTGAGAACCAAAACCAGATTCTAGCCCAATCGAGCCTCCTTCTCTTGCTCAGTGGTAGTAAAAGGTTGAGTAGGAACTACTTATGCTTAATTGATAGATTGAAGAATAGAAAGGGTGTTGAGCCGCCATCAAAAAGAAGGCAACTCAATTTGTCTGCTCGGTAATGGTTCTAATTTCACTCACATTTGCATCTCGAAGCGGGATGACGAGTGGGTTTTTTCTAACGTCTCCTACGAATGATCACATGCAAGCGCAAATCTAAACCATTTTAAATTCGAAATTTGTTGACCATAGATGCATGCGCCGAACAGAGCGCCTTAATTGCCTTCCCTCTATACAAATGAAGTTATCACCTTTCTGGATCTCTGTCGATTTGAGCCTCATAAAGAATGTCTTCTGTAGGTCTTGCTAGGAAAATTTGGACCCAATATAAACGACTATTGGCCTATCTAGCTGTTATCCTTTTTATTTGTCCTTGTCCTTTAATAAAACCACATCAAAGGCATGCCTTAGCTTGAGCGAACAAATTAAATTTATTATATGAGATGTGTTCACCTTATTTCGTTTATGTTAGTAAAATTTCCCCACAATTATATGAATAGAGCTGACGCTTTCATTGCATTTCTTATAGCCTTGCTTTCCCAAAAGGTTTTCTCATCAAGGGTGGACTGCAGTTTCGACCTTGCATAGGTCTTATCGATATCCCTAGCGGGAGTCGAACCGTGACACATTGCCACGAGTGCCCTTTGTGTCACAGGGAAAAGTCCTGACCTTCCTTGAAAGTTATATCTGCCCTGTGACCCAAAGGGCACTCGTAGCAATGTGGCCGAGTAGGTAACGTGTCAATCTCAATGGAGCAATGTCACGATTCGACTTCTGCTGGGGGTGTTGATAAGATCTATGCAAAGTCGAAACTGCAGTTTACCTTAGATGATAACAAATTTTGGGAAAGCAAGGCTATTTGAACTTCAATAGAAACGTCAGCTCTATTCTTATAATTGTGCGAAAATTTTACTACCAGTCCTTCATCGCCTCAAACGAAATAGGGTGAATACATCTCATATTACTGATTTACTGGTAGTCTCGAAACTCTACTTATATACAAGAAATTTAATTAATGACTGCTCTTTGTTTGTTTTCTTCAATTTTATTTTATAGGGAGGCTGGGGTAAATTGACCCTTTTTCTTAAATAATCCAAGGTGTGAAGCAAAACTGTCAAAAACATGTGTCTAGATTTTAGGAAAAAATAAATATGGTGTGAGTGGGTAATACATGGCTGTTGGGCCATCATTATAGGACAATTAGGTAATTCGAAGAGCAGTGTTTTCTTATGCCATTTGCTCTTCCTGTGGGGATTTCAATAAGCGCTTTCGAACTTAAAATTTATCTTAAAGACAATCCAAGCTTCATGTTAACTTTCCAATATGCTAGTGAATTGGCCGTGAATAATCAGTGTACTTGACTGGAGGGGTGATACCGAGCACTCCGTTTCTAGAGCTGGACTCGTTGATCACTTAAAATGTCAGCACAATCAAGCCTGATAAATCCTCTGCGATCTGCAAAGCTATTTTTTTTATTAATTTTCAATTTCAATTATCGAATCCGATCGAAGCTAAATAGTAAGATACCTATGTTTACAAACATTTATTTCTATACGTGAAGTAGTTTTGACAAAGGACAGCTCTGATATCTTCCTAGGATGAAATTGCTTGGCCACCGTAATATGATTTCCCTTTCTAGTCCTTCTATAGTAATTACATCTTACGAGTGTACCTTAAATACAAACCACAATTATTACAGAGAGATTCTGTTTGAATTGATCCTGAGACGTTAGGGAAAGCATAAACATTAAAAAGATTGTATTATATATCTGGAGCGGATAGTTATAAAGCGCTTTCATATACTATCCCATATAGTTAATTCGCAACTCTCAGTAGTTCATTATATAAATAGAAAGGTCTAATATTAGGAAGTTTTCTTTAGACTCTCACAAAAAGGATCATTAATGTTGTTTTTGAAACTGGTGACGTGCATTCAGCTCTTGCGCATGTATTTCCTAGTTCTATACAGGCAATTCACTTTTACAGGTTTGTTCAATCCCTACATCACGTTTGTTTTCGATATTTAATTCGGAAGCTGGCGATACATCTTTAAGTATTTTGCATATCTGAGAGATCACTCTGCTATATTTTACCCTGATGATTGCACTTGGATCCAACAAAAGATAATTTCTTCTCCATAAATGTGGCTTCCTCTGCATCTGCACTTCTTTAAAAGTTTATATATTTATTTGTTCTAGAACCACTACTTTCTATAGACATGTTGCACTCTATCATTTCATCGATCAGGTAAATCTTCCCAACCAAGAAGCTCACATTATGATTCATGGAATCTTACATGCCTTTATTCCAACATCCGTCAATGCCCAAGCCGTTTTTGGGGGTCCAACTACCTCATTGCCTACTTCTCCTTCATCATTGTCGCTTGGCAATATACTTGCGCATCATGCCCCAACCGGCGGCACTCAGTCGCCTGTAACACCCGGAAAGCCATCCATGTACCACCAATATCATCGGCTATCTTCTACACTCATGCCTCCTGGTGGCCTTGGAGTAGGTTCACCCGGGGGGCAGATGTCGAACTGTATCAGCAGTGCCGGTGCTGAGATTGTTTTGTGGCGGGCCCAGGATGGCATTCAATTAGGCCGCCTCCATGTGCACGAAGATGCACCTAAAGCTAGTCTAGCATCGCTGGCTAGTCCCACATGCCTAGCAATACATCCTAGAGAGGTTAGCTTTACTTTTTATATTACTCCTTTCGCAAACTACTTACTTTGTTTTTTGTTCGTAGGTTAGTTTTTGGGACTACCAAGTGGATCATATGTATGATATGCATTCTTTTTATTTCGTTAAGGCGATGGAATACTTAGTTTAATTTTCTCACAATAATATGAGTCTACCATACTTTTCCATTGGATTTGACATGACCTTGCCTCCCAAAAGTTAGCATCTAGGGTGGACTCAGTTTAGACCTCACATAAACTCAACTGATTAACAGTCAATGGGACTCAAATCCAGGTTGCGGTGGTGCAAGATTAACCACTGCACCACACTGTCACGAGTACCATTAAGTTACATGATATATGTGACTTTTAAAGAAGGCTAGACATTTTTCCATATCACATCATGCGGTAGGGATGTCGATGAAGCAAAGTTGTAGCTGCTATAACAACCGACTACATTACTTATTATTTGTTTTATAAGTAGATTTTTGAGGCTATCAATTTCGAGATAATGCGCTGCTTTATCACGGTTCGAGTCTGGCTGTGGATACTGAGATCTGGGTGAGGTGGAAGCTGCAGCCCATCTTGGATGAGAAGGTCTGTGTAGGGCTATGTAACTCAAGGCCTACTCAGATGACTGGAAAAATTCAACTACAGCTCCTTTATCATCTTAACGAAATATGGTAAATACATGTAATATATACGATCAACTGGTAGTCTCGAAAATCCATTTATAAACGAAAAATCATTTTAATTAGATTCAAGCCAACCTACTTGCTGACTTTTTAGACCATCTTAAAATTGATCATTAATATCTAGATGGCCAAATCAAATACCAGTCATTTATATACAATATTTGTTATAATTAATTTTAATAATTAATGTACAAAGATAGGCCTTTTGACTTATATGTATTCTAATTTTTAGCAACCTATTCGTGCATTTTTATCATTAATTTCATTTATTGCTACTTTCTTTTTGACCACTTATCCTACAGCCTAGAATCGTTGTAGGTCTAGAGGATTCAAGCTTCACTCTGCTTGATGTTCGACGCAAGAACACTTCCTAATCTCTGTCTGTCGATGGTCTTCGATTATATATTTATTCTTCTCCCAAGGGCTAGACTGGCTGCCTAGCACTTCTCTGATGGCATCTTCATTCTTGCGCTTTTCAAATCTACAATTTTAGTTTCCACAGTGCCTTGTATGCAGATATGTCTACAACTACCTAAGAAGCTCCTGTGTTCCCTATAGTTTGGTTTGCGAATCCAATTTTTCTCATCATTTTCCTCCTTTTATATATATATACATATATATGTTTGCATTTTTTATTCGATTCATTTCCCGTTACAACGTTATCTGCGCCATTTATTTGAATAGTGCCCTGCCTAAACGATTAGATGGTTTGCATTTCATTTATTAACAAATCATATATAATCCTAATTCTACTTATCATATTTTAATATTAAACTTCTCGTCCTTTTCACTACAACCACTCGTACACATATTCAGGATACCTCAAACTATTCCTTTTAGTCCCACTTTTTCTGCACCTTCAACTAGGAAGTAAAACATGCCATTTTTCCCCATGCTTTCGTCAGACTACCAAACTTCAAATTTGCTTGGCATGCAATATAATTGTTCTATTTCATCATACAAACTCAGATTTAGATATTTATTCACATGCAGGATCAAAAAAGTACCTCTAGACATGCTTGATTACATTTGCTTGCATACTTATCATATATATATGTATGTTTGTATTTATAGACTTATAGATTACCACCTTAATGCTTAGCTCTTTATTTTCGACATTCAGTTCCATTAATGACATCACTTACTTGTTTAGTCGATTATAGGGCTGGATGATCCCATTTATTTAAAGGGATCTTACTTATCTTCTTCTTTATCATGTCCATATATATATATATATATATATATATATATGCCTTGACCTTGTGTACACATTTATATCTGTCAACTTTAGGCCTTGCTTTCAAAGCAATTTATATCTTCTGAAAGGTTATGTGGCAGGATGAGGATAGAAGGGCAAAAATATCTGTAATTCCTGAAAAAATTGACTAATACTTTGTTTAATACTCTATATGGACATACAATTACGTCACAAGACATATTCTGGGGTCTCGCTTTCTCCTATATTTAACTTAGTTCCATAGCTCCTAGCAGAATAATCCTGCAAAAGTCTTTCTTATTCATGAGTTTATATTGCTGTTCTTTATCATGCCTGACGGGATCCTCTATTCTTTTTCTTTCACTTTTTATATTCAGCATTCCTTCAACTCAACCTTTTCCCTTCAAAGCCATTACCTATAGTCTTATCTAGATTCAAACTATACTATTGAAATCACTTTTCAATTATCCATTTGAGCTTATCTATCTTTATATAGTTCCAAGACCTTAATCTTAGTGCCCGTGAGATATACTATATGTACATGTGTATATTAACATTACACTATTCACCTGATCTAGAAAAAAATATTATTAATTAATCATCGATTAATCATTTTTAATCTTCGTTTGTATCATATATTTCCAAAATTATCCTCCGATCTTGTACATTATTGTCCCGATTTCATCTATTAGAAATTATGCTTCATCATTTTTTAGCTTTCCCCAGGGTTTGTGCTTGTTCGCTCCTTTTCCTATTTCGTTTCATTCTACTCTGCATTAGCGGCACCGAGCCTGGTGCCGAACTCTCATTTTTACGACCCCAGAAACAAATGTACTCATTAAAGATAGTTTATTTAGTTGAAATTTGTAATCTACTACTCTTGCCTTCCATCTTTATTTCTTCGTACTCATGTTTATATTCGTTTATACTTAAGAAGAATTAACATACAATGCAACTTGGCCTGACAGGCGAAAAATCTGTATTTGCCTTATCGTCTACTTCACTTTTTTCTTTATATTTAATCAAGGAATTTGTAAATAAAATATTAAGATGAATTTTATTTTCCTTTGACAAATATTGTGACAGCTGGTTGATGAATTCATTTATTACACTTTAAAATATCCTTGATATTCATGTTCGTTCTTCATTTCCACTAGACCTTGTATCTTATCTGCTTTTATCTTCTAAAGAAATGTTTACCCTCATACGTGTCTTC